ATCTTATTATCATTGTTCATATACTTGTTAATATTATCTCGATTATACTATTGTGGATATTATCTTGATTATATTGTTATATATCTTGTCATATTATTCACATTGTTCATATCATTTTATCATATTCATCTTGTACATATCTTGTTCACACCTTTCGAAAACACAATAATAACGATCGAAACCTAAAAGCCTAAATTGGTGGACTGTGGTTACTTTTCTGAGCAACAGAACTTGGACCTTGTATAGAAACCCTAATTTAGAGCTTTTGTACGACTCTTTCTCAAGGCTTAGTTTAGGACACTTTGTACACACACGGCTTCCTCTTGGGCTACCTTACAATGAATCCTTTTATTTTGTGCAATCTTGTGTAACTTACATGTACCCCGCTCCCATTTTGATGTACACATTCGTATTTGCTTTGATTATGGTTTGCTTACTAGGAGAACCCTTAGGGACTAGCATAAACTAAAACCATTTTCAAACTAATTCTCGATTCATCATCGAGCCATTTTCAAACACCTCTGTAAGTCGATTGCTTGTAAGCATTCATCATCAACCTGTCACACACACTCGCACATTTCATTGTGGTTTCTTTATTAGGAGCATCCCTAGGGATTTGTATCGATTCTGGTCTCTTTTCAACCAAACCCTTGACTCGTCGTCGAGCCATTTTCAACTCAACCTCTTTTCAAACTTCTTTGCACGCTAGTACCATTAAACCCTTGATCTGACGTCAAGTGGCATTTTATTCAAATTCGTAAGTCGAATGCCTTTTGCCTCGCCATGAACCTCATTTTGCAACCAATCCGATTTAATCGTTTTCAAACCGCTTTCTTAATCAAATAACGAAAGAAGAAGATTCTTAGAGTCTCGCATTCCTTGGGTCTTCGAATGAATGGCTCTTGAGGCTCACGCCTTGGGTTGTCATTCATTTAACCTTTCGTCTCAAAACACCTAATTTTTATTCAAACATTTTTGTAATCAACTTACGAAAGAAGAATATTCTTGGAGTCTAGCATTCCTTGAATCTTCTAATGAATGGCTCTCGAGGCACGCCCCTTGGGCTATTATTTATTCAATCTTTCGAACTCAAAATGTTCAACTTTTCTCAAAACCTTTTCTAATCAACTCCTGAAAGAACTGAGTTCTTGGAATCTCGCATTCCTTGGATTCTTGAGTGACAACTCTCGAGGCATGCCCTTTGGGTTGTATGTCATTCAATCTTTCATTTCTAAGTCAAACTTCAACCAATTCATTCCCTTCTTTTTGTGGTCGTCTCCACGAACTACGGACGCTCTGATTCTTCATTCTCGTCTGAATGTAAGATACGTAGGCACAAGATTGCAATGATCATGGCGAGAATACTTCCATCTTTCTCCGTCATTCCGTTCACAATTCTATCCATCTTCCGTTTACCCTCTATCATTTCCTGTAGTCGAACTACCAGAGCTCTGATTCCTCATTCTCATCCAAATGAGCATACGTAGACACAAGGGCCCCAATCCTTGACAGACACCCTATCCTATAACCATCCATTTCCCCTAACATCTTTTCCTTTTATCGTACCGTTCCACATTTACCATTGAGAAAAAAACAAACAAGCTCAGGTAACGCCCATCGCAAATCGAACTAAGAGGTTCCCGTTGAGTACAACGGACGTGAGAAGTGCTAATACCTTCCCCTTGCGTAACCGACTCCCAAACTCAGAACGTGGTTGCGACGATCGTGTTCTTATCTCTCTTTTAAAGGTTTTCTCGATATTTTACTTTCCCATCTTTTTGGGATAAATAAAGTTCGGTGGCGACTCTGTTGAACCGAATTCCGTGCCTTTCGCGCGAGGGTCGTGTTCTCGGTTTATATTTTCGAGGTGCGACACCTTGAATCCATCTTAAAATGATCTTGATTGAATAATAAACCTAACAAATCCTCATATCAATGACGAGAACCTGAACCACACAATCAGGACTTGTGAAAGCCTTAAAGTATTGACCAAATGTATTGACTTTTGATGGCTCTACAACTTGACTTCATCAGAGACACCTTGATTTGGCACAAAAACCTAATCCTGATCACTTGATGAATTTTAGACATAAATCACTTGAATCTGACACTTCCTTGCCCTCACATTGATCCATAAGAAAGACGACTTGAGATACAAAATTGTGCTGCTATTGCACCAAAACCCTAATTGAAAGTCAACTGGGTCTGATGATTATCCACCCCGAAACAATTGTCTTTGCCACAAACTGATAACTTGATATTGAAGCAAACCATTTCTTTGACCAAGATTAGGTCAAACTCCCATTAAATTTCAAACCATACCGCACACACTTAACCTAATAACTTTGTCTGAATCTTGATTTAATCTTACAAGACCTGAACTTAGGCAACAAGTAAATGAAAGCAAATAGACACGTATTTGTATGCAAAGTGGTTAGATGACATGAATAATGGATATGATGCACATATGATGTAAATGTTATGATATGTATTGATGCAGCGATTCGGGATCAAATTAGGGTATGACACATGCATTTGAATTTTGAATTAAAAAAGAAGTAACACTTCGTGAAGTGTTGCAGATTGAAAAGAGGCAACACTTGAAAACAATGCAACTTTTAGTTAAAAATTGTTGTTTCATCAAGGGCCGCAACCTTGTGAAACAATACATACATGATCTATAAATACTTCATTCCAAATTTTAAAAATCACTTTACAAACCGAATATTCTCTTGAACAAATTCCAAAACTCTCTTTGTTACAAATTGAATTTAAGTCGGTTTTACGCAATTCGATATAAGAATGAATTATCTTGTGTATTCATGCATTCCAACTCTAAGACATATTTAAGAGTGTTTGAAATACTCTTAAAAAAAATGACATTATTCACGATTCAGGTCTAAATCTATTCAACTTTACCGATATTTTTAACCTATATCATCTTTGTAAAAGTAATACAAATAAAAGTAATATGTATTTGTTGATCTTCAAATTGTAGAAAATAGAGTAAAAATGGGTTAAACAACTTCATAAAATCTCAATGCTACAAAATATGACAGTTTTGCCATCACAAAATTTGTATCTAAACACATATTTGTCATCCAATTATAAGAGCAATCATATAAAAACAATACATCCTTTATATAAATTTATTGTAACAACTATTAGAGACATATTTGTAGAAAAATTCATGATAAAAAATCAGAAGAATATGTTTTATTTTAAGTAAATACGAACTTGTCCTAAAAGCAGCTTAATAGACTACCGACAAAAAAATATTTTAATAGAAAAAAATCATTTCAAAAGTGAAATTCAATTTTAACATATGGGCACAAGCTAGCAGAATAATTCATTTCTTATTTATGAGAGTAGCATTAATTAACAAAATTAAAAAAAAAAGAAGTAAATTTCCCATTTTTCTGACGTGGCATTCTTTTACAAGCTAAAATTCCCAGAAAACCACGAATCCACAAAACGTCGTTACATGCGACGGCAACCGTGACTAAGACGTGAGAGAAAGCGAGAGTTCCTTTAACAGCGTCAAAATAGACGGCGCCGCTCCATTTTTCTTCCTTCTCTTTTATCGCTCTTATTCCCCCCTCTCTCTCTTTCTCTCTCTCTGCATCAATCTCTCTACTTTCTCTCTCTAAGAATTCCTTTACAACAAGTGAAGTAACGAAGCTCTCTTTTCCCTGTTTTCGTCTAAGGTACGCTATGCTTCTATCATGTATCGCTCCTTCGTATTAACACACACACTCTCTCTCTCTCTCTCTCTCTCTCTCTCTCTCTCTCTCTCTCTCTAAATGTTTTTGACTGAGAATTCCGATTTTCCGCATTGATTTCGGATCTTTTTGACTGTCTGTATGTGAAACTGAAAGTGCAAGTGTTGAATTTTATTGCTTTCTGTTTTCTATAATTGAGATGTTGATTTTCTGGATTGCATCATTCTACGATTTCAGAACTCGTTTTTAATCAATTTTGACAATTTTATATTTTAGGTATTTGATTTGCAGCCAATTTATTCGGTTTTGTTTCATGCTGTGTGTTCATTTTTCTGATGATTGAGGTAGGGTATAATAAGTTATAGCTAAATGACAGAGTATAATGATTTTGTTTAAATCGATTTTGTGTTTTTGTGAATAAACGCTTATTTGCAGCTTATAAGACAAGTGCTTGTTAAAATAAGTGCTTATGAGTAAGCTTGCATAAGCTATTTTTATAAAGAAAGATAAAATGAATTTTAATTGATTTCATATATGCTAACCGGTGTTTTCATTAGCTATCTTGAATAATTTATTAATTTAATTTATAAAAATAAGTTCCACAAAATTTTTGAAAAATGTCATTAGTTATTTTGATAAACTCTTTCAAACAGAATCACAAAACTTATGCCATTAGATAAGCTCAAATAAACTAATCCAAACATGTCGTAAATTTTGTTATGAGTTGTCTCTTAAGTTGATTTTCCTTGCACTTCTTTTTCCATGTCCTTTTTTTAAGAGTTTCGCATCGGACACTATATGACCTGAATATGGGCTTATAAGTGACGACAATCCTTAAGCTACAAGTCGGTTTTGTATGATTGAGTTAGGCCCAACCACAATTCTTAATATGGTATCAGAACCTGATTTTAAATTTATTGAGCTATCTGCAATCAGGTTTCTACTATTTGGTCACCCACCATTTAATTCCACGTTCCAGATGTTTAGTCTTGGATGTGAGGGGTGTGTTAAGAGTATTATATCGGACAATATATGGCCTGAACATATGTTTATAAGTGCCGACAATTCTTAACACCCTATGTTACTCATGTTCACTTTGTTTGGCTGACAAATGATTGAGGTTTTTTTAATTATGTTTTGGCTGTCACATTATAGATTATCGCAATTGATGATATATCTTTCTCATCTGTTCCAGGGAGAAAGCAGTGTTCACTGGTGAATGGGTGTTTCTGGTGGCTGTGTTAACATAAGAAGCTAAATACTGTTACTTGTATCAGAATGGGTGCTGCTTGTTGTGTTGCAGCCAGAGATAAAACTATTCAAAGTGGACCAACTAGTGAAATCTGGCATAGGAATGTTCGTTGTTCCCCGACATGGAGCTTGAGGTGGGATCATCGAGGCCGTGTAGCCGGAGAAGATACTACTATAAATTGGTTTTCGGATGGTGTCAGCAGCAATGATAGGTTGGAGAATAAAAATGAATCACATATATCCGAGGATGGAAGCCCGTCGCAGAATAATCAAAGGAATAGATGGCTAAAGTCCCCAATCTCTGAAGGAGCTGCTAGACACACAAAATCATTTTCTGGTAATTTTCATTGAATCAACTCACTGATTTTAATAGTTCATACTACACTTGCTGTGGTTGCACTTTTGGAAGTGGGTGTATGTCAATAATTTTCTTTCTTTTACCGCTTTGGTTGCATTTTTACAAATTCACCATCAGTTTAGCAGTGCACTTTATTGGTCACGGTCAGCCCGTTGTAGTAAACAAAACAATGAGTGTCCCTTAGCCCCTCAATGCTTGTTACCTTGAGAATAAAATTATAAAAAATGAGGAGTGTGTTTGGTGTAAGCTTGTTCGTTAAAAAGCCTAACTCTGTTTGAATAGTTTATTGAATCTTTTTTATTGACCATTGATTTTGATAAGCTTATTTCATTATTTAATGTGTTAGGGTGGAATGTGCACCAATGGATAAGTTATTAAGTTTCTCTCGGTCATCATAGTCCAGTATTTGATTAACAAAACAGATAATAGAATGGAAAATCTTGTAAGCATATAAATGTCTTAACTGGTTAGTGGTCTGAAAACATCAACCAGTAATTAACAATCCCATTGCACTGAAAAACTATACTTTCATGGAATGTTTGGACAAATCACCTTCCCTCTGAAATACAAATGAAAATTATTCTGTGAATTTCCTACAAATGCCCCCACCAATGGGAAAACAGGCTTATTATCTAACTATTCTAGAGCCTGTTCCGCCAACATTTCCCCTTATAAACTCACAATCTTGGATGAAGCTCCATTTTGAGAAAATTTTCTGTGTTAAGGCTTTTTTAAAAAGTCAACAAATCACTTTTAAACTCACAATCTTGTATGAAGTTCCCCTGACAAATCTCTATTCTGATCAATGTGTATCTTTGTCTGTGGGCCAGTAATTACTGGGTATCTTAAAGTGGCTTCTTATATATTGCGTCTGCTTCCTATCTTGCCAACCTCTGCACAGATGCAAGACAGCAAGCCGGGGCTTGAAAGATAATATAGACCATCTGTTTTAATTGAGCCTTTGTTATTCACTAAATTGATTGATTCATAGTTCTGACATTGTTCATCATGTTTATGTCAGATCAATCTATTCCAAGGAATGTTTCCATGGATGGGAGAATGGAACAGGTAAGATTATAACTGGGAAGGAATTCGGTGTTGTTTTAAGTTTTTGTCAGTAGTTTATATCTAATTTATTGGGCGCATTTCCTTCTTATGAATCCCTATAGGTGAAGGAGTTGGAAGACCTATCAGCAGTATCATGTCCATTTCCTACAAAAGCTTCACCCACATTGTCTTCTACTTCGTTGTCAATATCTCCTCTTCCATCTCAAAGCCGCCCACCTCCATCGAGCTCAACACCATTAAGGCGGCCCTCCCATTCCACAGGACAACAGTTATCACGACAGGTTTCTGATAGCCGAATCATGGGATTTAAGTCACCTAGCAATTTTGATGTATCTGAAGAAAGGCCAGTGTTTCCTTCGTGGAGCAATGAATATGGTATGGACTCTGGTGGTGGATCTTCAGATTATTGCTCTAGGCCTGGCTTTACTGAGCTGACGGGCAATTCTCCCATTGAAAGATGGTCATATGATAGCGAGTCATTTGGTTTTAATTGTGAAAGGTTGGCTAGATTCAGTAATCGCTTTTCAACTTCTCCAGTTGATTTACAAACATGTGGTGTTTGCTCAAATCTTCTAACCGAAAAGTCTTCTTGGAGCTCTCAAAAGATTATTGTAAATAATGACCTTTGTGTAGTTTCTGTTCTTATTTGTGGACATGTCTATCATGCTGAATGCTTAGAGAGTATGACACCTGAAATCAACAAGTATGATCCAGCTTGCCCTGTTTGCACTTTTGGCGAGAAACAAGCTCGTAAATTATTTGAAAAAACTTTGAAAGCTGAAATGGATTCAAAAGCTCGAAATAAGAAATCAAGGAACCAAATTGTGGATAATGATATTGATGGTGGTTCTGCTGTATTTGATCAGTTTAAAGATAAAAAGCGTCAAAGTAAAAGTCCTAGAATGGACTCTAGTTCTAGCAAGAGAAGCTCTTCTGGGAAACCTTTTCTGAGTAGACACTTCTCATTTGGCTCAAAGGGTTCAAAATCAATGCTAGATAACCACCCAACCCGAAAAAAGGGCTTTTTTTGGGCAAAATCTAGCAGGGAATAAGCTGTTTCTTGGTTATTGATATAGGTAAGTCACATCTTCATTGTGTTGCTTTCACGAGTTTAATCCTAAGATGTTATTTTGAATTTAATTCGTGTCAATGTTCTTTTCTTTAAAACAGGTTCTATTGCTGATCTTCTCTGCAACCTCGGATAATATGACTGATAAGGAGCAAGATGTCATTCATCAAGCTTTAATTTTTGAGCATCTGCATACAGTCATATACCAACGCATAAGTTCAAAAGGATTAGAAACTGAAATTACTATGTAAAGAAGAAAAGTGGAAAACATACAGAAGGATAAGAAAAATACATGAAGACAGAGATAGTGTTTAGAAACCAAGGTTTTCTTTATATATTCTGTACAGATTGATTTGTTTATTGCATGGATATAATTCATTATTCATGTATACAAATGATGTTCTGTAATCAGTTATTCTACTAATGTAATTCAGCATACATGCTTAGGGTGTATCTGGTGTTGGGCAACATCAATTAGTTTGGTTTAGTTAGTTGTATTCAGGTGAAATTACATTTTCAGAAAGACATTGTATCTGATCAATGCTTTATTGGTTAGAATGATGTATGATTTTAGTAGCAGATTGGATTATCTGCTTTATTTAATGCTTTTGTTGCTTGCTGACTGTTTGTTGAATCACCAAACCTTTAAAGTTTAAATATTTACACCAACACTGATGTTGCCCGTGGCTTTAGAGAGTTACGTGCACGTTTCCTCTAGTTGCTTCTAATAATATTCTTAACTTATACGCCCCCATGAAATGTGATTCGACATGAGAAGATAAAACAAATAAAAAGTACAGATAAAGAGTCTTTCTACTTGTTATTGGGCGACAAAAAAAGAGCATTTGTTGACTCATAGGAATAAAGGTGATATCGTAAAAAAGAATCATTTTTATTAAAATATCACTACTGATTTCTCTCATGTGTTGATTAGTAAAAGCAATAAAAAGTAATTAGATAAGAACAGTGAGTTGATAAATCTCTATACCTTTAGAGACATGATTTTAGAAAAAATCAGTCATTAAAAAAAATACAAATAGGAAGTTTATCAGTACACCCTATACAATACATAACCCTCTCGCATCCTTTGGATAATGCAATTTGGGCGCACCCTCAATACAATACAATTCAATTCAAACGCGCCCACATATAACATACCACATTGTTTATTTGCAATCTATAAACTCTTTTACTTATGATTATGTAACATGTTTCTTAAAACCCTCTCAAAATATTTTTTCTTATTCAATAAAAGAGCATTGGTAACACAATTTAACTGTATTTCGACATCAAAAATATCTTAATCGTCTTAAGTTATAAGTGATGTACATTTATATTTTTTATCGTTTAATCACAATTTGATTTTTTGTGAATGTTATGAGAATCGTCTGAATAGTAACAATTGAAGTCATTTGAATTATAACATTCAGATGTTCTAAATAATTGATTGACTTTTCATAATTTTCATTAGTTGTAGGTATGATACACACCCTAATGTTGTTAATCATGCCAATGTATCAAACTATGGTTTGTTGAAAGATTCCAAACTCGGTGTTGTACACATTGATGTTGAGAAAAAACTTATCACTAAACATGTGTTTACGTTACGTGATCATATATTTAAATGGGTCAATGCAGAAGTTGTCAAATTAAGTTTTAGGATAGTAATATGGAGGTCATATTCTATTTTTGATTGAAGACATACATTTGTTACAATGAGACGCGAAATAAGTGGTATTATAAATAACTTATCCAGAAGTTGAAACATAATTCTACCGAAACAAAGAAACATGAATGTCCTTTTAAGTTGCGTATGTATTATAAGTTGAATACTGTTTGGACATTTAGTATGACTTATGGTGTTCATAATAATGAATTGAGTCGCTAGTTAGCCAATTATCTGATTGTCCTTCATTTAGATTTAGAAGAGAAGAAAATTGTTGCTAAGATGACAATGAACACAATTCAGCCAAAGAAACATACTCACAAATTTGAAACGGAAAAAGACTCAAAAGCGTCTCAAATATTAAACAAGTTTATAATTCCTTACCCATAAACAACAAGCCTGTTAGGGGTCGAATATCTAAAATATAACGGTAGTTAAAAATGTTGGATAAACATCACTATGTTTATAGAGTGTGTGATGATGTAAAGTCTATTTGAGATATATTTGGATGCATCTTGAATAGATCCAGTTGCTTAACACATTTCTCAATGTATTGGTAATTGATGCAACATATAAGACCAACAAGTACATGCCTACTCTTTTTGAAATTATTGGTGTTACTTCTACAAAGATGATTTATTCCGTTGATTTTCCTTTTTAGAATGTGAAAAAGAGTATAATGTTACATGAAATTTAGAAATGTGTTGCAATATGTTGAAAGACTCATAAAACATGTCACAAGTGATGGTCACGAATTGTGATTGATGAATTTTGTTACAAAAGTATTTCTTACTTCATATGATTTAATGTGTAGGTATCACATAACAATAAATGTGAGGTAGAATAAAGAGAATCTTGGAAAGCAAATAAATCAATGGTGAAGACGAAAAAATGGTCAAACCTACTCAAATATTAAAATTCATAATGAATCATTGGAATGTTATTATAAAGGCAAAACTACTGTCTAGGTTCTTTAAGTTATTTTAAAATATCAAGTTCGTCCCTTATTTTTTTTTTTGTAACACTTTGGTCCTTTTTAAAAAATCTCCGTTACAATAAATTACAAACTCATATATCATTTAAACTGGTTTTTCACGCTGATCATGAATATGTAATTAGTTTTGCGTTTGACTGTGTATTTTGGTCAGATCGATGACTTTTCCTTATGTATTTTGTCCATTTTTACCTGATTCTCAAGAACCGTAACTTGTTTGATAAATTTGATTGCATATTCGTGATTAGCGCGGAAAACGAGTTCAAATGGTATATGAGTTTGCAATTTATTATAACAGAGATTTTTAAAAAGAGACTAAAGCGTTATAAAAACCTTAAGGGACTAATTTGATATTTTAAAATAACTTAAAAGACTAAAACAATAATTTTGCTTATTATAAATTCTTCCATGGAGGAGTCATATATCAATTCTGTCATGCAATTTGGAAGCGCGTGCACGAAATATCCATATTTTTTTGAAATATGTTGAAATAACAATATTAGATCAAGTGAAGGAGAAAATTGAATGTGCATGAACTAATCAGGCTAGACACCTTGTAAATACTGTAATTAATTGAGTTGAATATCCTCGTGATAAATTAAAGAATTGATTGGGAATTGTAAGGGTGATATTTTCAAGGGCTTGAAATGAGTGAATCAATTGATTGACATGCAATATAATGAGATACATGCATCATTTGGTAAAAACGTCACAATATTAGAACATATATTTCAAGCGGGATTCAACTTTATTTATCACAAAGGTGTACAAGCAGATAAAATAGTTCCAAATAACTTCAAGTGTGTTTATATACTTAAAAGAACATACAATTTCCATTATTCTTGTTTAACAGCCAAAAAGAAGAAACTCGATAAATTATGTGTATGGACGATGTAAACACACTATAAAATGCTTCAGTTTGATGATGATGATGATATAATTAAGAATAGTAAATTAGATATCTCTATTATGACAAAATAAGAGGTGGTTCAAGAGAGATTTTTGAAATCTGGTTATAATATAAAGTCGCACGTTAAAGAGCATATGCACAAGTTAGCCTATCTAAAAATCACTAATATGAAACTATTGGCAGAAGCGATAAAAAGCAAGGATGCTCTTAAGGTAAAATCAACTCCTAGTGATAATTATAACAAGCGACCACCATCATATTTTGAGCATGTTGACTCGCTTTATATAGATTTTCCTCTTTCACAATCTAAAAAAAATCTATTAAAGGTTCTCGTATTAGTAAACCCTTACATTGTCCTCATTTATCAAAAATGAAATACAACGAAGATATGTTTGTTTTTATGCACAAATGCATTGACCGAATTATAGATGTTAAATGTGATAGTAATTAGGAATATTGTGTTGTTTCAAATTTGGTAGATTTAGAAGAAGAGAATTGTACATTTGTCTGTCAACATCTTACCAAACAATTAACGGTCCATAAGAAATATTACTCGAGGTTATACGAGAAAAAGCGATATATTGAAATTCATGATGCTATAATTTCTAGTAGAACTAATAATGAACCGGTTGAAAAGTGGACGTGTTTCCCTAAAATGAATTATCTTATAGCAAATGCATATGAAAAAGTTTGCATCAATTTGACAAGATATGATTTTTAGAAACTTTTTCTGACTACATAGCGACCTGCCAAAATATCATGTAGAACAAATTACCAATATTGAATGGCTTTCAAAATATGCATATTTTGTACAAGTTTATCTGAAACTAGAATAACTTATACCATGAATATCTGTAGAGCGGAAAACTCATATACAAAATGTAGTAGTTAAATGGGAGGATCCTTCTTTGGATAGGATGGATTAGTTTGACATGACAAATGGAGTTCAAAAGAGAGTCAAATAAAAAAAAGTCTAAGGAGGAATCACCCATAGATTTAGGCAGTGATATAATTTTGTATGCATTTAGGTTTTTATCTTTCATTATATGTATAAATTTTGGAATTTCCAGGATGTAATGTTGACATAGTTTTTTTTATGCGTTTTAGATTATTACTTACATTATGTGTGTAATATCCCAAAATTTATACTAACTCCTCATTTAATTCACATGGTTTATTTGTTCATTTACATACATTTGTCTATTTGATCATGTATTTAGATCATTATCGACGTTTGCATGTTGTAACAAATTTAGGCCAAATGTTCGATAATAATGGATGTGATCAGTTTAAGTGGATTTTCAAGGTGGATATCATTTGGAAATTATTGGGGTTTATTTACCATATTACTTGTGGTGCGAATCATATCTTTATTTGAGGTTCATGGTTAGTTGGGAGATTGGACTGATTGTC